TCAGCAGGAGAAAATAAAATACAGCACAACTTTAATGTGAAGAAGTATGGTAAGTTTTCTAGTCAATTCCAGAGAGATCTGTCCATTTTGGATTAGATGTAAATGTCTTGTATTTTTCTCTAGTTCTGCCCAAATTTGATGTAACAATAAATGTAAAAGAAGAAGTTAGTGTTGGGCAGGAAGGAACTGAAGCTAAAGTGTGTGGAAAGTAAGTAAGCATTGATCCCTGACTAATGTTTTACAGAGACGGAATCCAAATCTTAAAATGAAATAATCTGAAATGATTCTTCTGGGGATGACTTTTTAATCTGTTCTAATTTAACTAGGTACACATACGGACAGCCTGTGCCAGGAAGTGTTACTGTGAAAATGTGCCGACCTTTTTATGACTCCACTCCCAAGAGTCAGAGGAAAAAACCTCTTTGTGACATTCAGACACAGAAGGTATGGCTGATTATAGGTTTTTGTTCATGTTACTCAAACTTACCACTAAAGTCCTGTTAGGTCAGTAATTATTTTCGAATGCCTTGCATACAGTAATTTACAATCACTGCTTAATAAAATCAGAAAGGAATTACAACCGTGTTTTGTCTTTATCTTGGTTTTCTACAAAGAACCTGCAGTTTTTTGCTTATATCTATTTCTACCATTTGCTGGCTTTTAGAAATCATGAGGAAAAAGTCATTTCTCCTGATAAATGTTCATATCATCAAGTCATGTTTTAAAATATATGATGATCTTTTGTTTTTTTCTTATAGGCAGACAAAACAGGATGTAGTACTTTTGAATTCCAAATGTCAATTTTCACAAGAGGCGGTCAAAGAAGATTCGAACATAAACTTGATGTCACTGCCACAGTGGAAGAGGAAGGAACAGGTAAGTCTTGTTTGCACAGTGCCTTTATTCTCATTGAAGAGTTTGTATCCGTGATGATATTATTATGCAAGGCATGACTGTTATTACATGGGAGCTTTTCATATTTAGGTACATCACTCTCACAAGTGAAGCAAATTCAAATCTCATAT